CAAACTTTCTTGGTGTCATGTCATGCTGTGATTATGGCTTAGAAATTCATATAACTATAATTCAACAGGAACTAATAGCTCAACAGGTAATCCTATTGTTTACATAATTGTGTCATTGATACTCTCGAAAATATCTTGCTACTAAGTTTATCTTATTTTAAGATTTGCTGGCCTTCTCTTAATTTTAACAGATGCATTGATGAATAAAAATTGCAAATTGAACAAAAAGAAAAGTGACTTTTTGTAAGATAATTTTTCAAATTCTTGAAGATTAATTAGATCCTATGAGTTCTTTAGATCGTTTATTCTTTTTATTTGTGCGATATATCTCTTTTCATTTTTCATTTATTTGATAAACTTAGCCTTTTTTCCCATCTGCATACACTACCTGTTATTGTCATTCTCTGACATTTTTTTGTCGTTGTTGAATACAGAGCAAAATTACGCAATAATATACTCTGTTTTGGGAGAGTGAATATGTAATTTTATCTTTTGTAAACTTTTATTAACCTTTCGGTACTCTTCTGTTTAGTTTATATAGAAAAAGATTAAAAATTGAATAATTGGAATAAGCTATTTATATCTTTAACACGACATCCTTGATATTTCTCATTTCGTCATTTAATTTTCTTTCAATCCCAATTACGCTGATATCTTTTCTTTGTGCCACTAATGCAAAGTACTTTGAACAATTCACATGTCCCTGGTCTATAATTATTTCATTGGGTTAAGTGTTGTTGTGCAGTTGCTGAGGAAAAAACGCTTCTGATTTCTTTTTACTTTTGCTTATTTATTTTTTACTTTCCCTACATTTTTACGCTTTGTTTGCTGACAAAATTAGTAAAAGAAGAAAGCATGAAGAAAAAAAATATGCAAACAAACAATCCGTAATAAATTCACTAATGAAGAAGCAGTGAGATTTGAGTAGTACTGAATTTTACATCGATCTTAATTATTTCGCTCAAAGAGGCAAATGTTAATTTAAAGAACTTTGTATTCAAAATTCTTGGAAAATTTATCTTTATTCATTTGATTTAATAACGTCCAGTGCTGTGCATTCTGTGTTACCGTATTCTCCAACCTGATGCAATATTTCGTTTTCTGGTAAAGAAATTCAATTTACTGAAGAATCTTATAGTGATGAATAATGTGAAATATTAAAGTTCGGGAATTTCTCTATAGGATGATGTTGCTGCACGATTGAGTCACATTAAATGGAATGTTCTTTTCTCAATAGTTCAATTTTTATTGACGTGTGGTTGTTCCGTATATATCTTATACTTACTTCCTTGTCATCCGATACTTTCTTCTGTTCCAGAACCGAGTAGTAAGCCAGTGTAAATGAAATAGAAATACTTAGCTTTATAATTTTTGAGTTACTGGGTTTTGTGTGCTATATCCATTGGAATAATGAATACATTTACGGTGTTCTTCCTTGTCATAAACCCAACTTGCAATTATTCATTGACTGGGAATTTCATTCAGATCGATTTGCTTGTCTCAATTCGGGAAATAAAGAATTCTGCATTAATAGGAGTTTTAGAATTTTTCTGCATCAGGACAAGTCACTGATGATATTGAATTCATCATTTAGAAAAAAATATCACTTGAAATGTAAAGTTGATACAAACGGTTAATTCTTTCATGATTTATGCCTGTCTTTGAACTCTTCAAAGACCTTATTATCTAAAAGTTGCTAGCCAGTGTTCTTTGATAAAAACTTTTCGTCAGTGAACTTGTTCATAAGTCAAAAAAAGAAATGTGTTGTGGTTAAATGGATGAATTTAAAATTCAGAAATGGAAATGGCACAAATAGGATTTAGAAATTGTGATTACTTCTGAAACATCCATAACCGGTTATTTTGGACAGTCTACCACCAGATGTTAACAGCTGCATCGTTTTGGAGAGGAAAGGAAGCATATTTATATTTAGTTGAGAGATGCTGAACTTTTTCATAGGTCATCTTCCTCGTTTCCAGTCTATGATAGCTGCAAGGATACGATACCTGAAAACGAAGACTGAAAAGAAGGCTAAAGGTCAATTTTAAGTAATTTCCAGAATGACAGTAAAATGAAATTATGTTTTTATGAGTGAAATGAAATATAAAGCGGCGGTGATGAATATAGTTGTGGAATCAAATGCAACAGTACGTATATACATATAGATATATATATATATATGAAACGCTTGTTTGATGATCCGGCAGCGACTCGATTCGATTCACTCAGCATTTGATGAGCCGCCCGTTACAGTATCCATGTACTCCCTTTTCTGTGACATCAGCATCTTGACGGTAATTTTAACGCATAATAAATTTTTAAATTGTTCACCCATGTCAGTTCAGTTTAAACTTCTGATGTCCGAATGAAAATTTTATCATTATTTTATGACGCGAAAATAAAAATGTGTTGGTGGCAAAATGGAAGGTGAAAGAGAAAATGAGGGAACGAAGAAGAAAGGGGCAATTAATGTAACCGTTTTCTACATCACCAAGGTAGATTTAAAACTCAGTTTTATATTTGATTCAAAATTTTCGGTCATTGCTGGTATTGGTATTGGTGGAAAAAGTTTAGAGATGACCTTCAAGCTAAGATTAAACGATGAATTTTTGTAACAAATACTTTCGTAAAGTTTATTCATGAAATATAGCAGCAAGCAATCATCAGCAATTGAAGGTGATGCTAAGCTATACATATATATTATATATCTTAAAGAAAGTATTTTCTCAACAAATTCAAATTTTAGAGTTAGTTTTGGCGCCCATTTGGAAAGTATTGTAATGGCTTTTTTCCCTTCATATAATTAGTTTTCTTCATTGATATATGTCTTTTTAAAAGGTACAACTTGTGGGTTTACTGCATTGAAAGAAAATGTTCACTTTAGCAGTTCCCTTACAAATATATAGCTCAACTCAGCATACCTTTCTTGTTTTCACCTGTCGTTTTTCGTTAGTATTTTATAATTTTTGCTAGCGCACATACTGCACAAAACGTTTTTTCTTCTGATTTGAATCCTCGTAAATAGATTTACACTTTATCAGGTATTGTTCTAAGAGTGAATGACTTTCGAGGTCAAGTTTAAAAAGAGTTCAAATCAAAGATAAGAATTTTACAGTATTGCTTTGATTTATTGTGTTGAAGGTTCCCTTATCGGTATGCATATTATATTTATTGTTAAGATTCAATTACCGCTGCGGATTCATTTGTTTTTGAAGATTTGAGCGGGGTCAATTGATGGACCCATAAGGCTTAACTAATATGTTTCACTGATATTTAACTTTTTTCTTCATTGTTTTGCTGCTACTGAAATCCACTTGTTCTCCCAATAGACAATATGTTCTGTATTGGTTGTGAATCTTTGTGTTTCACCCATAAAAGTTGCTGCTGATGGAAGGACTTCTGTGTAATTTTTTAATGTGCTATCATCTAGACCACATGTTAGCTGTTAACAAATAAAAAAGTCTTCAAATGCGCTACAAACAGTGCATTTCCTTAATTTGCAAAAAGGAGTTTCTTTTTTTCTCAGTTAAAAGTTACGTGTACAGGTTTTCTTTTTTACGTAGATGTGATGAAACATGGAATTTGATCTGCTGGGATGACTCTCACAACATGGTAGTTTCGTGAAATGTATCGCATGTTATAAGTTTGTGCAGATATTCACCGAAAGGTCAAATTCTTGAATGCAGTAAAGCGTTTCGCCTAATCTGAGCGGAACCAAGCGATCGAAGAGAATTTCGAGTGATTTGTTATGGTCGTGATAGCGAGGAGCAAAGAGAGAAGACAAGGGTTCACGTAATAAATTAATCATGGATCGTCTCTTTAGTGCTTGTGACAAGGAGGTGCGGGGAAACCAGAGTAGAGGTCCTGATTTTGCTAGTTGGTGATGGTTTGGTGAGATAACTGTGAAGTGTTTACACCTTAAGACGAGGAACGCGTGCCTTATGTCACACAACTCTTTGCATGTTTCTAATCTAGATAGATTATCATCAGTTCGTCCATTTCCAGCATCATTTCCCTCATTGCCAATCGTCATGAATTATGTTGTCTTCTAAAATCATGAAATTTCGGAAACTTCCAACAGTTCATTACGGCTGAGCGTGCGATACTGCTTCTTTCATGAAAAGCCGAACTCGTTACTGCTATTATTTTTAAGAATGTTGCTAAGAATAAGTGACAGTGATATGGTTGTTTGTGAATTCAATAAATGAATGGAAAGCACTGCAATATAATCAGTGACAATTAATATTCATCATGTCACAGGGAGTGACCGACCATCGAACTATCCTTTCCTCTACCTAACTCTCCTTTTAATAATCGATTAAGTTATTTTTCCCGTCTATTCACATACACAGTTTAAACTAAAAAAAAAGAAAAAACGTAAACATATTGTTTAGTCAGCGAGGATGAAATGATTCTATTTTGCGTCCCTTAATTTGTAGCATTCCTGATGCATTCCTACTAATTATTTTCAACAAAATACCGTTTTCACTCCTATTCATTGCTAATCTTATGAAATCTTTGTTTCAGACTTATATTTTTACTCCGTGCTCTGTCTATTAGATATGCCATTAAATAGACAATATTAATGTTAGGAAAAACTGACTTTTAGAAAGTTTGCCTCACAAGAACTTTTCAAAAAATAGAAAATAGATGTCCTGCTCTTGATGTTCTTGGCGACTTTTGCCTGCTTATCTCGAGAATAGCCGCCAATGGGTTTTTTCTCCATGGGCTAGTGGAATAGTGTTGTTTATTTAGTGTCACCATTTGCATATATATTTGCATATGTTAATGTATATATTGCTATTACGTAGTGTACTCTCACCATATTGCTTATAAGAGCGTGGGAAAGGCGGTATTATAATAAGGCGACATTGAAGATTGTATGTGGTGGATTTTATCAGTCTGTTTGCAGTGTGAACTGTGTGAGGTTGTTGGACTGACAAGCAAGTTTATCTGTGTAGCGAGGAACCGGAGATGATATTTGAAGGAGCTGTTAACTGTTAGATTGAAATGACGGATTTGAGGGTTTGACAAGAAGAGGGTTGAGGAGGAACTTGTGGATCATCAACTCTACCACCCGTTGCGGCCCTATAAATTATTACTGCCTCTTCGCAAATCTTATCCCTTAATGAATTCCCTGTAACCCGTGCCTCCTTTCTATCTAGATTTATTACAAGAATGAAGTAGCGCTCATTAATTACTCTTACTGCAGATTTCAGTTGGTCCCCATCTTGACAGTTTACTTTCAACACTGATGTCTTGCCTTATTATAGCCTGCAATTTCTAATTCATCTAGATTTGAACAAATCGATGAAAGTTGAAACGAAAGTGATTCAGAGATTAGCAATGACAACATGTCCCTGGTAGGTACAATGAGACGCACTTCATGAACAAGTACGACAGCTGTTCATCAGCGCTTCTATTCCGTCACTTCTAGTAGCGATGATATTTAAATCTATATCAGTTGCCCAAAAACAAGATAGAGCGACTAATTGCCACCACCACTTGCTTCATCGATATATTGATTTTCCCTGTACAAGACTGAGCACCAACTGCTATGAAGATCATCGGCATGCAAGTTAGAACTGTTGAATTTGAAAATTGTTTCACTTAGATTTGAAATATGGCGAAATTGGAAAATCCACTGCTACCGTTGAGTGTTGGCTGAGGATCTTTCTCAAGGAGATCGAGCATTTCACGTGATGCTTTTTTCCAATCATTGTTTGTAAAGGATAAATACATCACGTCAGCCCGAGTATGTAACCAATAATTCCCACACTATCCGTCCAGTTCCTCTTGTAGTTATTTCAGAGCTTTAATGCCCCTCTATTTCTTCCGCAGTTTTAATATCGCATGTGTCTGATGTGTCGTGGATTATAAGTGGCTCTTGTCCATTTATTCAATGTTGTTTTGAAAATTCTCGAGACTGTGGTACGATAATCTGAAAACTATGTGCCACCAACTATTGGCCCTACGAACGGGGCGTGGTGCTCTTACGGTGTAAAATTGAAGTGGAGCAGATGCTCCACCTCCGGTGATTGTTGCCACTGGTGTTACCGGGGCTTCTTCCTGGATGTGTCGTCTTTTTCATCTCAATAAGGAGAAGTGGTCGTCCTTCACTTTGTTGTTTTCCTTCCCGCCTAAGTACTTACGACTGCAAAATTATTCACCAAAATTGCCCAAATAAAGCTAAGCCATACTGTAGTCAGATATTTCATTAAAAGCCCGTTTCCATCTCCACTGATTATTGTTAATTATGCGCCACAGTTTTCCGGGAAACACTAACCGGGTCGTTATGCATCCTCCGTTAAGAGAAATTCTGTTAACTGTCTCTACATTCTGCTCCTTCTGTTCCACATTCCCTTACCTTCTGCCCAGATGACTTTCTTAATAAATGACTTCCTTCGCAAAGCACATCGAGATTTGACAATTCCGCCCATCCATACTGCACTTTTCCTTGTACCAATAAAGCTTCTACAATATAGATCATTTGTTTTCTATGATAGTGCCTGTTAGAATTTTATTGTGAGCTTTCTATTACGGCTCTTCATAGGAATTTAATTTGTGGGTTGGTTATAGCGAAATTATTGGATTTGTGGGAGAATTGGCCATGATGAGACAGATATATTGAAATCCTGTTGTAACAGGCCTTCGCCATTATTTTTATCACTGTTAATTCTGAACTATATATTTTCCATTCCAAATATGATCAACAGAGATGTCAGTTGTCAACTTCTCCAAACCTTTCTGCACCTTCTGATAAAATTATAGTCAGATGGACAAAGAGAAAAGATTCTAGGATTGTGAAATCTGTAAAACTTCCTTTTATGCCACAAAATCATTACATGGTCTGAAGGTTTCCGTGTCGTCAAAAGATCGTTATTTTCACTTGTTTTGCTTGCCATTTGCAGTTTACTAGATAATTATTACAATTCTTAAAAATAGTAACTTAGGTCATTTAACGCGGAGTTTTTGCTATAAAGCGCAGTTGACGATCGTTTGATAAGAAGCAAATATCTGAAAAAAAAAACATCTTTATTCAGTACATTACTGGATAGGATCAAGATAGCTATCTCTAAAGAGGTGTGAAATGTCATTCATTTATGGGTATCTAGTTGGTATTTTGGTACCAGTGCCTTTTCTTATAATTCAATTGTTTATTGTAAGGATTTTGATATTGAGATCTTATTTCAGATGGCATATTAAGGTGGTTCATTTTCTGTTAAAGATGTAGGGGGTAAGAGGTTAGTGGTCGTTGTAGCGCTGTGGGATGCTGTTGGTGGACGAGGTACCCCCTACTGAGATCGAACCGATCCCGTCTTTTCTTCCCGAAAGTGGTGGAAGTATGTAATTGGTACTGACATGGTGCCATGACACTTTATTAAACCAAATTTCCTGATGTTGACAGTGTTTTGGATGGACAGAATGAGGAAGTTCGTGGCAGAGAATGGTGGGAGAAAAAGTTTCAATGTCCCGAACATCATATAATTCGGACATCGTCCCGTCCCTATCCTTTATTTTAAACAGTGATGATGTGGCACAAAGCTTTTGCTTCTTTGAATTAATTATCTAATAAAGCGGATTTGAATAAAAGTATAATTCGTCATGGAGTGAGAGGAGGAGCGCAGTTTTATACATGACATTGAAGTAGCTAATGAAAATGTATTGAGTTAAATATTGACTTGAATTTCTTAGTTTTTCAAAAATATCAATGAGAAGATATCTCGCGTGTGATGGTAGATTTCAAGAGAGCTTTCAACTTCTTCATTCCTAATTACTACACGAATGTTGATTTTTTGGTTATATCACGGTGTTTCTGGTATGGTCAGTAGTATTACAGTGGAGAAGAAAACTTGTTTGTTTGCTACTGTTTAATGTGAAAGACTGATAGATCTCCATTTCTCGCAATAAGGGTTAGTCGTCCTGATGATTTTAATAGGAAGATAATAATAGTGATAACAGAAGATGATAATCATATATTGGTGATGACGATGCTGCAGGATGATAGTGACAGTGGCAGTAATTACTCTGCCTGGGGCGATAAAAATCATTCTTTACCTTAACTCAAACGCTTTTCGCCGTACTTTTCACATGTCCGAAAGCAAAAAGAATGCTTGTTTGTGCCAACACTCATCGGTACCTTTCACATAATTCTGATTGTGGTTTAGTTGGTTTCGTTTTGCCGAATCAGTTGGATCATTCGTCATCTCACGCCACAGCTTCTTATGATTGCTGCAAATCTGCATGCGTTGTTGAGGATGTATGATAATTACAGCTATTTCAATGCGAACTTTTGTGGAGGAACATGGTGATAACTGTTTTAGAAAATTTAATGTATTGGTGGTTGTTGGTAATGAAGCGATGAGGATCTTTCGAATGAGTCATTTTCCGAATTTTAGAAGTCATATCAGATTTTTCATATGACATAATTCTCTCCCGCTGTAGATTAATCCGAGAGCTGAGAGTAATCTCATTTTAATCAGGTATGCAGTTATCTTTCAGTATTTTTTTTTGCCGAATGGAATCTTACTGCATATTTCGGCGTTGTTTTTGAAGCATTATTTCGTTACAACGATTGCATTGGGAAAAGTTTACATAATGAATAAGTTGATTAGATTTCCAGGGTTTTCCGCGGACATTGAAAACTATTAGTTGCTTCATTCTATTTCTGCTATGTGCTGTGGAAATTAAGAAAAGTTATTCTACTTATGATAGTAGGCGATGAAGGTTTATATTTTGTTGTGGAAGTGGACAAGCGAGTAGAATCAAATATTTATTGATAAGTTTATCAGTATAGCAAACTAGCATGCCTTTAATAGTGGTTTGATTTTTTCACAGGAATGAGAATAATGCAGTATATTTAACCATTTTTCTTTTTCAACTTTCTTTTCCTAAATCATCAAGTAATGCTTAAATTTAACTGGCCTTTTTAATCAGTAAATGAATGCTATTCTATAAGTTGCTTCATTCTATTTCTGTGTATGTGCTGAATTGAATACATAGGTTTTCATTCAGCAGGAAGTAAACAGGTCATAGTATTTGTCGATTGAAATCAGGAGCGGATTTTTGAAATTATTGATTAGAAAATAACCTGAAATTATATTGGTACCAGTTTTTTCGATGTCTAGAGTAGTTCCAAGAACTTGTTTTTAGTCTCTTGAAAGTGACCATACGATATCAACGATAGGAAATGATCAGGTTTGTTCGGTATTGGTCGCCTTATCGGTAACCGCTAGATGTTGTTTTGTTGCGCACCTATTTTTAAGACATGTTTTGCTTGCCTTGTTATTTCTCGAAAGGAGGAGCTCATTTTTGCTTTAAAACAGAACTCATGGCTAGTTGGAAATAAAGTCATATATCTCTGAGCTTTTGCACCGTATTTCGCTCTGGCACAGTAAGAATAAAGAATATATTATAGGTTAACACTTAATCCCGTGTTTTAGCAGCTAATTCATTTTTTACTATGTAAATAAAGTCGTGAAATTTATATTATTTGAATTTTATGAATTCTGATTAATGAGAAGTTGTCTCGCACAATTATAAACCCGATAGCTTCATTGGATAACTCAGTGATATGTGGCATTTGTATGTAGTCAGAACTTTTGTACTGTTTCACTATCTTTCGATCATATTTCAGGCAAAGATTTTTAGAGTGATGTGCTTCTTCATTTCATTTGAAATTGTTTCCGTGCTAGAAATTGTCTGAAATCGAAACAAATCTCGATTTCGACCCACCGTTTTGTAGTATTTACGTTCATTCTGTCACTGTTGAAATCTTGTTTTTCATTAATTATCATCTGTTCCCTGTGCTTCTCTTTTATACTACTATTATCTTCTCAGCGTACTTTCGGTCATTTTCATCTTCATCTTTGCATGCTACAGTGTTGTGAAATCTCGTTTTTACATTACCTACCATTTTAATTGAATGATTTGCCAAAGGATAGCAGTAGCAGTAGTAGTAGTTGTTGTAGCAGCTGATCAGATCCTTCTGTTCTAATCAATCCCTACTTTGATATTATGTTCCATACAGCTTCCTGATTTTAATTTCGTTTCTTCTACCTTTCCGTAATGTTACTGATTCCGGAGCTATACAGTAATGAGCAGCAAACAGTGTGGTTGGTTGGTTAGCACTAATGTGCTTCACTGAAAGATGTGCTCCCAAGTTGGAAATATTCTGGAATTATATTTGTGTTTGTTTCAATTTTCGATATTTTACTGTGAACGAATTTTTTCCAATTAGCAGTTTATTTTGAAATCTGCACAGAAATATGTTCTGGAAATTTTCGAATTCTACTGAAAAGTGGTACTGAAAAGAGAAAATCCGACCAGATATTTATATCAAAATTGCTTGTTGGCTTTGATGACTAGAATTTATTCAAATCTTAAAGTATATTTCATCTCCAGCGCTTTTATATAACCCAGGATGACCTGTTGCATCCTTCTTCATTCGGCAATTTTTTCTTTCATTCTCAAGCAAAACAGTGCCAGTTATCTAGCAGGTATTGCCCTTAATCATTCATTAATTTAAAACTTAAAGTGAACTTAACCAATACTTCGTTCGTCATCACTTATTGTTTTCTAATAATACATCACCAATTTATCATTTCTTCTTTTTCCTTAGCATTACTGAAATTGTCAACCGTTTTAGTCTCACTTTTGTATCTCAAAACATTGCCTTTTTACATTCAACGCAATGATTCTTTAGAGTCTTCAGTTATGATTTGAAATTTGGGAATGGCCTGAATGTATCGGAGGATTCAAGTAAGAGGAAGCACTTTTCATTCAGTCATTTCTTCCATTTCATTTCCCTCATATCATCACAGGTTAATCTTATATGAGGGAATCAAGCGGTAATGCAAATGCTTTCTCGATTTCAACTGTTTCTCTTGGAGTTCAGTCTTTTTTTTTTTTTGACTCGTTCCCAAATCTTTTTTCCTTACCAATTTTGTGCTATAATAATACTGTTTAATTGTTAATGATTTGGAATTGTTGGATTTGTGTTATCTTGTTAAGAAGATAGTAGTGACCAATAAACATTCTCGTTTTCACATGTCGGGTAAGCAAAAAAAAAATAGTAAGAAATAAATGCCGCAGATCAATAATTCATCGTTTTCTCGTTGCGCGATTTCATACTATATAAGGTTTTGATTAATGTATAATTTTGTTACAGCTTTGACTATCTTGGGCATCCACCAAATAATATTCATTAGTATCATATTTGTGCTTTGGAAAGCATAACTGAAAATATTCCTGTTTCTCTACTGTTACTAGAAATAGTAATTAATTGATTTGAGTTTTTCGAAAGGCGGTCATGTCATCTGGTAGCCTGATTATGGATAAGCCTTCATCGGCGGTATCATTTATACCTATTAAGACTGAAATGGATCTCAGCTCGCATGGCGGCCAAACAGATCACTTGCAGGTAGGCTTACAATTTTTATGTTGCTTGTTGTTCAGAATGTAATATTTCCAAGTTGCTCGGTTCTTATC